CATCTGTGATTCTACGCAGCCATTTTGAGACTGGCCTGAGTTTGAACACTGACCTCAATAATCAGTTGGTCTTCAGGGAGTGCCTACCATGTACCCAGCACCTGTGCAAGATACTGTGAGGCACAGAGCTGAATCAGGCAGGGTAATGTGGGGAGGGAAGGAGAGAGGAGACCCCTTCTGATTTGTGGGGACACAGCACCAGGCACATACCTGGCCTTTATCCTGAAAGAGGAGATAATTAGCATGTGAGAACAGTAGTTATCATAACCATAACTAGCACCTGTATCTCTCCTTGGGGTCTCCATGGCCCTCTCTGCAAGGCAGAGTATGACACACTCTGCTCCTTCAGACCTCCTTGTGGCCTAGGACCCAGACAAAACACCACTCCACACATCAACGTGACTGATTCCTGCTGCTGCCCTGAACTCCCCCAGAACGAAGTCTTCCCTCTCCGCACCCCATGGTTGCATTTTATCACTGTTTACATGACGTGCTATGTTTTCAGTCATGTCCCAACTGGGATTTGGACTCCCTATTGAGAGCTAGGGCTTGCACCTGATTGTCCCATGTGGCATCTGACACAGGGACCCATCCCATCCCCACTTCCGCCTCCCCCACTCCTGCCAGAGGAGGTGAGAAATTACTGGAAGATGACTGGTGAGAGACATGTGCCCAGGGGAAGGGTTCCTGGTTGCAAAGCAGCTGAGACAAAGGCTCAGAACCCAGAGAAATCAGGGTGAGCCTCTGAGAAACCAGGCAGCAGGCCAAATACAAATCAGGCAGGGGCCGGTTGAGTCAAGGCCTGCCTTTCCTTCTCTGGGTGTTTGGAGCTAACGGGAAGTGGGGCCAGGACAGCTGTGCCTGGTGAAACAGATGTTCTCTGGGCCTGAATGTGGGGCATGGAGGAGGGGGGAACTAGAAGGGGAGGGTCACAGCCAGAGAAATGAAATATCCACAGACCCACTTCTGTTTATTCCATTTTACTTATAGCATGGAAAGTCCCAGAACCCCTACAGAAGTAGAGGGACTGGTTTGAGGAACTCCCACGCAGCCATCACCCAGCTCGAAGTGCCATCCCCACCTTGCAGTTCTCATCCCATTTCTCCCTCAAGCCCCTTGTTCACAGAAATGTCAGACGCCAGATCATTTCACCCATGAATATTTCAGAATGTATTTCTCACACATTAGCACATTTCTAAAATCAAGCACATCATCACCACACCTAATTCAACGAACCATTCCTTAAGATCCTCTAATAAGCAATTCATCTTCACATGTTCTCATTCTCCTGAAAAAATGTCCTTTTCTGGTTCATCTGTTTGAATAAAAATCTAAACAAGCTCCATACATTCCCAGGCTGGAGTGCGGTAGCATGATCTTGATCTCAGCTCACGGCAACCTCCACCTCCCGGGTTCAAGCAATTCTCCTGCCTCAGCCTCCCGAGTAGCTGGGACTACAGGCACAGCACCACCACGCCCAGCTAATTTTTGTATTTTTAATAGAGATGGGGTTTCACCATGTTGGTCAGGATGCTCTCAAACTCCTGACGTCAAGTGATCCTCTTGTCTCGGTCTCCCAAAGTGCTGGGGTTACAGACATGAGCCACAGCGCCTGGCCTATACATTGCATTTTGGTGCTTTATCTCTTAAATCTCTTTTCATCTCTAACAGTCCTTTCTCCCTTCCTTTTTATGCCCTTTTACTTGTTGAGGAAACTCGGCCCTTCGTCATGTGAGACTGTCCTCCTTGCTGATGTGGTGGACGAACCCTCATGGTGTCATTTAACATGGGGCACTGTCCTGCTCCCTGAAGACAGGCATCCAGAGGGTTGATGTGGTGTAGGGTCAATTATTCTGGCAAGCAGACTTCCTGGGAAGCGCTTCGTCCTATGGGATCACACCTGGAGCATACTGGGTGATGCTAAGAATGCTTGGTGCCAGCCTGATCCCTCCATTAGAAAGCCCCTGTCATCTTGCCTTGGTCATTTCAGTACCTTTCATAGAATTTTAAAGCTCTGACAGAGCTGGAAGAAATCTGAGAAGCCCATTCACTTATGTTTCTATTCATTCCTCAAATATTTGTTGAGCATCTACTATGCCAGGTCATGAGCTGCAGGGAACAGAACCAAAGGGATCCCTGATCATGGAGCTAACAGTCAGGTGGCAGTAGATACCTGGAAAACAGGTCTGCAGGGGCGATGGGTTATAAATGACTGTAGGGGTAGGTGACTTACCGCTGCCAGGTGGCTGCTGTGTGATGGGGGTAGGGAGCCTCTCTAAGAGGCGGGACATGGGAGCTTGACCAGAGCAAGCCAACTGTGCAGGGATGGGGGCTGCAATACAAGGAGAGGCAAGAACTGGTGCTGGCAGAGAACCAGGCACCCGCCAGGGCAAGCAAGAAGCCAGTGAGCAATGGAGAGGGGACTATGGGAGCAGCAAGGTGGCTGCTGTGATAACAACCCGCGGAGGCAGTGGAGGTGATGGCCACTACCCCCACCTCTTACTGCAGAGAACATGAGCTCAGAGAGGATGGAGAGGTGCTACTTACTGAGCAACCACCCCGCATCCGGAGCTGTCTACACCGCATCTCAAAGCCTCACAGCCTGCTGTGTAGGAGTCATTGCCCATTTTACAGATGAGGCCAGTGAACAGTGAGGCCGCCTGCCTAAGGGCATAGAGCCACAGGTGGGCAGCAGGGTGGAGCCCAGAGTGATGAGGTTCCCCAACACTTCAAAGTCGCCCCATAGCGAGATAACCACTGCAGAGCCAGGCTGCCTCCAACCTTGGCTCTGACACCGAGAAGACCTGTGACCGGCCCAAGGACCTTCTCCCCTTCGGTGCCTCAGCTTCCCAATCTGTAAAATGGGAATAATGATTGTACCTCTTTCAAATAGGTGGGAATGAAATGAACTAATTTATGTTAAGTACTTAGAACGGGGCCTGACCCCCAACAAGCACTTGATGGTAGGTATCTATGTTTATAGTTCCACTGGCATCGATACTTACACAAAGGCAAAGCTGAGACAGCAGGTCGCCAGCCTCCCGGGCTGGAGTCCACCTCACTCACAGCAGGTTCGGGTGCATCCACTGAAAGGTTACCAGGGCCAGGCGCAGCGGCTCACACCTATAATCTCAGCACTTTGGGAGGCCAAGGCGGACAGATCACTTAAGGTCAGGAGTTTGAGACCAGCCTGACCAACTTGGCAAAACCCCACCTCTACCAAAAATACAAAAATTAGCAGGGTGAGGGGGTGCACGCCTGTGATCCCAACTACTCAGGAGGCTGAGGCAGGAGAATCACCGGAACCCGGGAGGCGGAGGTTGCATTGAGCCAAGGTCACGCCACTGCACTCCAGCCTGGGTGGCAGAGTGAGACTCTGTCTCAAGAAAAAGGTTGCTGGGAGGAGAGGAGGCTTACCTTGGGGCCCTGCACACTCCTTGCTGGAGATGGGGCTGGCTGGGGGAGCTACAGACCCCTTTAGGAGATCTCCAGGTTCCTTCTAACACCTGCCCCAGGACAGGCTCCCGTTCTGGAGTCACTCTCTGTCCCCGTTATCACGGCCCACCCTCAGCTACCCAACCCGAGGAAAGGACCAGTGACCACCCATGGCCCCCAAACATCCCATCCACCTGCACCCTGATATGGGCAGACAGCTTCAGGCTGAACGTGAGGAGGCTGAGCAGCAGCTACGTGCCCAAGGGGCATGGCAGGGCCAAGACTAGGTGATCTAACCTTGCCACCCCACCCTATACTTAGTCCCTGCCTCTGGGGCCCCGATGGATCACTTCAGCACAGGGCAAAGGGAGTTTCCGAACTTCCCAGGCAGATACCCAAAGGGTTAAACTCAGGCTCCCTCCTTCCTCCAACTCAATTCGATCCTTGCTGACTCTGCTCCCCCTCCCTAGCCCCAGCTATTCTGGGACAATGGAGGCAGCAGATGGCCCGAGTCCTGTTCCCTCCGCCCGACCCTCAGGATCTTGGAACAACCCGAAAATCTGCTGCCGCGTCTAAATGCAGGCCGACCAGCAGCCTTCCCTGGGTGGGTGGGGAGGACAGCGGCTGTGGATGGCACCATTCCAGCCCCACCAGGCTGCAGGGCCGGGGCTGCCCTCACTCAAGGCATCCCATAAACCCAGCCCTGGGCCAGCCTAGAAAGAAACGAGGCTTTGGAGAACCACAAGCAGCCGGCTACACCCAACTCGCTGTGTAACCACAGCACGTGGCAGTCCCTCTCTGGACCTCTCCTCCCTGGAAAACAAGGCGCTAGCTTCAGGTGCTCAGTGGTTCCAGACGTCCGCAACACAGATGTGGCCAGAACAAGGTTTCTGATTCTTCAAGGGTGGAGCCCCTGGCCCTGGATGCCTGGGTCAGGACCCTCTGGCCCTTGGGATCTCTCCTCCTCCTTCCCCATCCCGGAGCCCCACTGTGACCCCAACTCTCAGCATCACTGGGCATATGACCTTCCCTCCATGACCCTTCCCTCCCCACCTACGTGCCACCATGCCTGAAATTTCAATATGATCACTTTCATTCATCCATCCCCTCCTTGGGATCCGAAATTCCAAGGGCACTTGCATTTACTCAGTGCCTGCCCCTGGCTGTCAAACAGCCCTTTGGCGCCATTATCTGATACCTGAGGCTAAGTCCCTCTGCCCTGAGCCTCCATTCCAGCTTCCCTGATTCTCTGACCTCCCCCAACCCAGGGCCTGGGGACAGAGGAAAAGAGGAACCACTCCACACCTCACAGCGCACACGCTCACATTTATACATCATGCACACCTGTGCCACACAGCCACAAAAACACACACACACCACACACACGCCTTCATGCAGCATCCACTGAGCCCTTCCTTTCTCTGTGCCAGGCTCTGTAAAACGGTCTTGGCATACATCCTATCATGCCACCAAAAATGACCGCCATCTCCACTGTAATAGACGGAAAAAGACCCTACCCCTGTCAGGAACACTGTGGCTGCTTGTAACAGAAAACTGAACCAAGAGAGACTTAAACAAATAAGCAATTTAATTGTCGTACAGAACCAGATGCAGGAGGGAACGGCTGTGGGTGACTGTCTGGGCCTTTCCTTCATGGTAGCAAGGTGGCTACCCCAGGTCCAGCCATCACACCCACGTTCACAGCGGGAAGATGGGGAGTGGGCTGCAAAACCTTCCCCGGAAATGTCTCCACTGGCTCTGCTTAGTTCCCTCTGGCCAGAGCTAGTCCCACAGTGGCCCCTAACAGCAAGGGAGGCTGGGAAATGAGCAAAAGGGTCATCACGATTGGCTGGGACCTGTCATGCCGCTTCATCTGGGCCCGGGTATGCCGAGGCTCCAAACAAAATCTGAACAGGGGGTGGAGAGCAAGGAGCTTAGTGAGACTGGTCGGCAACAATGGCAGCCACTGAGGACTCTGGATTCTGCCATCCTTCCACCCGCGTCCCTTCAGTGACTTGGGACCCAGTCGAGGGAGGCGGGAGTAGGCAGCTCAGTGCTGGACCGGAAGAATGCCTGAGAGACGGGAGCCAGAGGCAAGAGCCAGGCCCCACCCAGATGCCATGTCACTGCCTAAGGGGCTAGGACCCCTGAGCCCCAGCCCGGTTCTAGTGCCCCCTGCCTTTTTTGCAATTTGGCCTCCTGAAAGAGTCTACCCCCTGGAGCCTCTCTGGCCATCACCTGGTCTACCTGGTCCCTTAACTCCCCTCCCAGGGGCCTGGGATGCCTTCAGTGCCCAATACCACCCAGATCCTGAGCTTGCCAACCACCGGAAGGCCCTGCCAGGAACTGCCTATCACAAGACACTTGCCAGGGGCCCTCAGTGCCACCCTGGGAGCCAAGGAACAGCCAGAAGCCTCTGCCCCAACTTTGCCCAGCAGTTCAGGATTCATCGGGCAACCAGCTGTGGACACCAGGGTGTATCTGGGTAGAGGAGACAATGGAGGGAGCGGAACCTGCAGAGATACCAGAAAAAGACAGGACAGTCACCCCCACTTCTGCTTTCAGCCCGCTCTCCTGGGGGGACGCATGCCACAGACGGTTTGCAGCAGGGTTTCTCCACCAACGCTCAGGGCTCCAGAATTCTTTGTTGTGGCGCTGTCTGTGCCTTACAAAATATTTAACGGCATTCCTGGGCTCTACCCGCAAGATTCCAGTAGCATCTCCCCGAATCATAATAATCAACAATGTCTCCAGACCTTGCCAGATGTCCCCCAGAAGACAATTCGCCCCCACTCGAGAACCGCTAGTTTGGAGAAACTTCAAAGGCCGGAGAAGCCATCAAGAGACCTCAGCTGAGGCCAAGCATCTGACCACATGCCTCTGAATCTCTCTCTCCAGATCCATTTGGCAGTAATCTATGGCTTCTAGAACCTTCAGGCTTACAGGAAATTTAACATTAATTCCTTTTTTTTTTTTTTTTTTTTTTTTTTTGAGACGGAGTCTTGCTCTGTCACCCGGGTTGGAGTGCAGTGGCGCAATCTTGACTATGTTTGGATGCCTAGAGTTGGCCCTCGTTCCTCCCATCCCAGGTTCCAGCCCCCAGACCCACCTGGAAGGGTCCTCCTCTGGGGAGAAGGGGCCCTGTAGCTTAATGACGTTGAGTTTCCCCTCAAAGACACCGTAGCTGAGGGTGACCTGGGCAGGGAGATAAAGGAGTTAGTATTGGGGCGTCAGGCTGGGGATCCCCACAAGGGGGCAGCATCCTGGCACAAGCGTTTTAAGCTGCAGGGAACGCGGTGGGGGGGCACGTGAAATTAATTCCCCACTGGCGGTGGGAGCTCCTTACCCCAAGGCACTTTGCAGCCGGACGAGCACTACCACGCCCTTAATCCCATTTGCTCCCTTGACAGCTGGGCTCCCTGAGAGGCTGGAACAATTCCCCCATCTACAGATTTGGAAACTGAGGTTCAACAGGAAAAGGCACCTTTCCAGTCAGCTGCATGCCTGGACTAGAACGGAAGTTTTCTGAGACTCACTGGAGGGTCTCAGCACATCCCTCTTCACCCGGAGCCTCTACTCCACAAGGCAGTGAGGACGTGGATCACGATTTCAACTCACAGGCTGTAGAAGTTTAAGACTGTGGGCTTAGGGACCACCCAGCTAGGGTTCCAGGGCCCCTCTGCCCCATACTAGCTGTGTGCCACGGTCAGTTTAGCTCACCGGGCCTCACTTTCCCCATCTGCAGAATGGGGATAATGTGAGTACTCACCTCATGTGAATATTGTTAGCAACCAGCGAGTTAAAGAAGGGTGGCCTGGCGCAGTGGCTCACACCTGTCATCCCAGCACGTTGGGAGGCTGAAGCGGGCAGATTGCATAGGTCAGGAGTTTGGGACCAACCTGGCCAACATGGTGAAACCTTGTCTCTACTAAAAATACAAAAATTTGCCGGGCATGGTGGTGTTGTGCCTGTAATCCCAGCTACTGGGGAGGCTGAGGCAGGAGAATCACTTGAACCCGGGGGGTAGAGGTTGCAGTGAGCCAAGATCACGCCACTACACTCCAGCCTGAGCAACAAGAGTAAGATTCCGTCTCAAAAAGAAAAGAAGAAGGGAAGGCCCCCAGTGCGGTGCTTGGCATTGTGGGTGCTCAGGATACCCTAACTATTAGGATGCCCTGGTTTGGGCTGCCCCAAATCTGCCTCCCGTTCCTGGCTTCAGGCCCTGCCATCCTAACGAGACCAACCTCACGCCCCAGTTCCAGGTCTGGCCAATCAACGCTAACTCCACGCGCGGGTAGGAGACGGGTCAAGTGACCCAAGCCCACTCAGTCAGACCAATGAACACCAGCCCTGGGATCTGAAGGGGGGAGGAGCTCTCCTCCCTCCGACCGCAGGGAAAGCTGGGCTGCCATCTTGCCTGCATGAAGCCTGAGCCTGCCTGAGGACGGGGCCAACTTGGGGGACAGTGGATGAGACAGGAGAGAGTCTGGGAGGCCGTCTGCCCGCCTAGACCCCGCCAGCCCTCAGCTTCTCAGGTATGTGAGCCAAGCATCTCTTCGGGTTAACCAGCCCATGTTGAGTTCGGTCGGACTGTTGGGCAGGAGATCTCAGGGACACTCTCAGCCAGGACCGTCTGCAGAGTCAGAGGCCAACCTCTGCCAGGCAGAGCCAGTTGGACCTGTGTTACCTGCCAGGTGGCGGGATAAGGGTCCCACTCCTCCCCCAGCCTAACATCCGTTCCCCCTGAAGCCACTTCCATCCCAGTAACCTCCGGGTGGGAAGGAACAGCGCTGCGCCATGGCTAGGGACGTTTTGATGAAGGAGGGGCTCCCAACGAATAAAAGCAGAAAGGGCCCCCTGGCTCCCCGGGAGGCATGTGGGGAGGCTGGAAGAGTGAGGAGTAGAGCCGGGGGTGGGGGCAGCGTGCTGGAAACCCGAAGACAACCTCGTCTCACGTGTGCAGGTCTCTCTGGCCGGCATTCGAGGACCAGATCAAAGAATGTCAGTTTCACAGATGCTAACCCTCGAGGGTTAGAGGTGACGGGGTTGAGTCACTGTGTGCCCTTAGGGGGTCCTTTGCCGCCCTAGACCTCAGTTTCCCCGTCAATAGGGAACAGTCAAGCCCCATAATCTAGAGTTCCAGGTTTCTTTCAAACACCGGAAGGGAGGGTTGCGGAGACTTCGTGCCTCACGTCCCTTTGGGGGAACCCCTCCTCTCTCCTGCTTTCCATTGCTACCTGCCCCAAGGCCAGCCCACCTGTTCAGGGAGCTCCGCAGTCCTCAGCAGCTGCAGGGTCTCCAGGTGGGAGTGGAAGCGGGGGCTGGGCTGCAGGCGGCCGCCCAGCTTGCACTCGATGATGTAACCCACGGTGCAGTCATCAGGCAGCCGGATGAGAGCGGATGTGTCCATGAAACGGGAGCCGCTGAGGGACAGAGCCAGACTGTAGACACTGGCCCGGGTCCTCCACATCCAGAACCCCCACCCTGAGAAGGCCCTCCTCCGCTGGCACAAGCTGGCAGAGCAGACCACCTGCCTCCCGGACACTGCATGACCTTGAGCAAGTCAGGAACCTCGGGGAGCCTCAGCCTCAGTCTCCTCTTCTGTGAAATGGGGACGCTAACGGCCCTGTCTTCACAGGGCTGTCGTGAGGATTAAATGGAGGAATAGGAAGGTGAGGCCCTTTATAAATGTAGCTTTCCTTCTCTCCCTGTCTGGTCATTCATTCACTCATTTATTCATTGTTGGGCTTGAGGATCTACCTGGTACCAGAGACCATGCTAGGGCTGAAGATACAGAGATGAGAAACGCTTCCTGCCCTTAACAGCAGCCCCCATTCTGGAGGGAGACAGAGCAGGGAGGAAGTCTTTCAGAATAAGAAAGTGGTGCTCAGTCCACGCTGCCTGGGGGTATAGGGAGAATCAGGCAGGCTTTCTGGAGGAGGTGGCAGCTTTTTTTAGTTTTGTTTGTTTGTTTTGGTTTGGTTTTTTCGAGACAGATTCTCCCTCTGTCGCCCAGGCTGGAGTGCAGTGGTGCAATCTCAGCTCACTGCAACCTCTGCCTCCCAGGTTCAAGTGATTCTCCCGCCTTAGCCTCCCCAGTAGCTGGGACTACAGGCATACGCCACCATGGCCAGATAATTTTTGTATTTTTAGTAGAGGCGGGGTTTCACCATGTTGACCAGGCTGGTCTTGAACTCCTGACCTCAAGTGATTCACCCGCCTTGGCCTCCCAAAGTGCTGGGATTACAGACATGAGCCACTGCACCTGGCCTTCCCCTCCCACCCGAGACAGTCTTGCTCTACCGCCCAGGCTGCAGTGCAAGCGATGCTGACGCACCACCTCTTCCTGGAAGCCTTCCCTTCTGCCCTCAACCAGATGGCCCTTCCCCCTCCTCTGAAGGCCCTTACATTTGGCCTTCACCTCCCGTGTGGCACTGACCAGTCAGAAGAGGGCCGCAAATAGCAACTACCAGAGCCAGTCTGGACATTTTCTCATTGACCCGTTACCACGCCATTGGCCATCGTATGATCAGGTCCACATGCAGATGCGGGGGACGGAGGCACTTGGAGATGACATGACTTGCCTGTGTGTGGCAGCGTGCACTCAGCCGTGCAGCCCCTGAGGGCAGGTGGCAGGTGGCTTGCTCACCACTAACTGCCGCTCTGACACACGTGGATGAGGAGCAGTTTCTCCTGAGCTCACTCAAAGCCCTTCCTGCTGCAAAGGCCCCTCCTGTACCCCAGCGGCTAGCCCCTCCCTGCCTTCCTGCCCACACCTGGGTCTCTGCTTACCTGGCCCACGGAGCCATCTTCAAAGCCAGTTTGCGATTGATGCAGAAGCCAGCGCCCCCGGTGGCGAACCAGAACTGTACCAGCCTCTGAGGGGGAGGAGGGCAAAGGGGCAGGGTGAGCCTGGCGGGAGTTGGCGGGGAAGGGACACCCCCAACCAGCATGGCTCAAAACCTCTATTTTGACTCTCACTAGAGTCTTGCTACATCGTGGCATTATCGTGCCATTTTATAGATAAGAAAACAGAGGCCCGAAGTCACACAGCTAATTATGAGTGGTGAGGTCGCTGATCAGACCCAGGTCTAGCTGGATTCCGGTTAAAGGGCACATGTGCTGTACTCACCCGGCCGCTGTACCCTTTCCTCTGAGAAAGGTCTCTACCTCACTCCATGTGGCTTCGGACGGGCTGCCAAACACAGCACCAACCCTCCTGGGCCACCGTAGCGGGCCTAGGTTGAAGGGGCCTGGGTGCGCACAGAAGAGCCGAGGCGGGGAAAGGCAGGCTGGGCCGTGCCAATACCGATCACTGGCACTTTCTTTTTCTTTTTTTTTTTTTTTTTTTTTTTTGAGAGGCAGAGTCTCACTCTGTCACCCAGGCTGGAGTACAGTGGCACCATCTCAGCTCACTGCAGCAACCTCCACCTCCTGGGTTCAAGCGATTCTCCTGCCTCAGCTTCCCAAGTAGCTTCAGGCGTGTACCACCACATCCAGCTAATTTTTTGTATTTTTAGTAGAAGATGGGGTTTTTCTATATGTTGGCCAGGCTGGTCTCGAAATCCTGACCTCAGGTGATCCACCTGCCTTGGCCTCCCAGAGTGCTGGGATTACAGGCCTGAGCCACCGCGCCTGGCCTCGGATCACTAACACTTTCTAGGGTTGACTTCATGCCAGGTCCCATTCCAAGGACTTGGATAGATGACCTCATTGAATTCTTTCTTCTATATTCACAACCACTCTGAGTAGGGGCTGTTATTACCCATTTCACAGATTAGGAAACTGAGGCACAGAGAGGTGAGGTGACCTCAAGCAAGGTCACACAGCCAGGAGGTGGCAGGGCTGCCAGGTACAGCCAGAGAGTCAGAGGCAAACTCCTTAGGCAGAAGTGAGTGACCAGCGATGCGGTGCTCTGGGAGCCTGAGGGACTCCCTGGCTCCCCTGGAATCGCTCACACACAGAGCCCCGAGGCCCAGAAGGATTTAATTAAGGCTCAGAGGCTGATTAGCTACTGATAATTAAGGCTTTGTATTTTCTGCTCTTGGTTTTCCTAATGAAGCAGATGGTGACCTGGGGAGGGAGGGTGAGCCCCGCTGTGTGCCCAGCTCCTGCACCAGGCACGGTCTCTAGAGAGGGACCTCCCAACCGTTTCCTGAGGCCAAGGGAGGCCTAGGGCCTGAACCGCTCTAACACCTGATACCCAGTGGGCCCTGGGGACAGGGAGAGAACCATGCAACATTTGGGACAGACTTATACTAAAAAATTCCTCATTATTTATCTGAAAGTCAAGTTTCACTGGATGTAGTGGTTTTTCTTTTTCTTTTTTTTTTTTTTTTTTTTTTTGAGATGGAGTCTCACTCTGTCCCCAGGCTGGAATGCAGTGGGGCAATCTCAGCTCACTGCAACCTCTGCCTCCTGGGTTCAAGGGATTCTCCTGCCTCAGCCCCCTGAGTAACTGGGACTACAGGTGCATGCCACCATGCCCAGCTAATTTTTGTATTTTTAGTAGAGACGGGGTTTCACCATGTTGGCCAGAATGGTCTCGGTCTCTTGAACTTGTGATCTGCCCGCCTCAGCCTCCCAAAGTGCTGGGATTACAGGCGTGAGCCACCGCGCCCGGCCCTATTTATTTGTTTTCTAAATCTCGCAACCCGAATCAGTGTCCATCCAGATCTGGAACTAAGGCTGGTGTGGGGTCCCCTGTTGTGCCAGGTGTCAACCCTTCAGTCACAGGCTAGTGGAGGTGTCTGGAAAAGAGGGTGCCCAAGGCGGGGAAGGGTTCTGGGGCCCAGGCAGCAGCATCCATCACCCAGCCCACAGTATTCCAGCAATTTTTTTTTTTTTTTTTTTTGAGATGCAGTCTCACTCTGCTGCCCAGGTTAGAGTGCAGTGGTGTGATCTCGGCTCACTGCAACCTCCACCTCCCGGGCTCAAGCGATTCTCCTGCCTCAGCCTCCCGAGTTGCTGGGATTACAGGCGCACACCACCACGCCTGGCTAATTTTTGTATTTTTAGTAGAGACAGGTTTCACCATATTGGTCAGACTGGTCTCAGACTCCTGACCTCAGAGGATCCACCCACCTCGGCCTCCCAGAGTGCTCGGATTACAGGCTTGAGCCACTGCACTCGGCCATTCCAGGATTTTAACAGTCTGCACACCTACATGGTGACGCCAGGTGGCTGGAAGCCCTGCTGCAGGGTCACGCAGCCTCAGCTCACCTGGGTGCTCCCTGAGTGACCAAGACAAGCCGTGGCTCCTGGGGGACGGAGGCCTCACTATGTGCCGTCTCTGTACCACAGCTGCATGAGCTCAGTCTCATTTCACAGAGGAAGAGACTGAGGGTCAAAGAGAGGAAGCCACCAGCCCAAACCCACAGACATGGAGCCAAACCTGAAACTCAGAACCCCTCTTACCATCTCGAGCACATCCTCACCTCTGGGACCGGCCCCACCCTGGGACCAGCGGGCCAAGGGGCAAAGGAGGAAGAGAGGGACCCACCGTGCGGTTGTGGGGCTGCGGCTCCGAGGCGTGGATGGGCCGGTTCAGGCTGGGCCTTCCCACGTAGACATCTCGGGCCAGCGGGAAAGCCCTCAGCAGCTGCAGCAGCGCCCGTGCGTTCACATAGTTATCATCATCCACGTGGCAGAACCACCTGTAGGGATGAAACGGGGACAGTGAACTTGTTGGTTGCGGGGGTTCCAAGCCAGGGTCCCCAAGCACCCCTACAGTCGGCCAACAGTGACAGAGTTCAGGGTAGGGGTGGGGGAGGCTGGCATTTAAGGCATCTGTTTGGCGCCAAGTTGCATATTGTTTAAGATTTTGAGGATGGTGTCCATTCCACAGATGAGGGCCAACACCGAGAGGCTAAGACACTCGCCCTGGCCAGGCACAGTGGCTCACACCTGTAATCCCAGCACCTTGGGCGGCCAAAGCCGCTGAATCACCTGAGGTCAGGAGTTCAAGACCAGCCTGGCCAACATGGTGAATCTTCATCTCTCCCAAAATTGCAAAACTTAGCCAGGCATGGTGGAGTACCCTGTAATCCCAGCTACTCGGAAGGCTGAGGCAGGAGAATCACTTGAATTCAGGAGGCAGAGGTTGCAGTGAGCCGAGATCCTGCCATTGCACTCCAGCAGCCTGGGTGAAGAGCAAAACTCTGTCTCCAAAAAAAAAAAAAAAGGACAGTTGCCCAGGGTCACATAGCCAATCCTGAATGGCAGGACTGGAACCCAGCTGGACTTCCCAGCCATCTGCCCACTGCCTGCTAGGGGAGTGGGGGCTGAAGTCAGACCCCAGGAGGTCTCTGGGGATAGGTGTCGTCTGGGCCCAGTGAAAATCACCCCTGGGACCTATCCCCAGAGACCCAGGAACACTCACCTATGCCCACTGGCCAAGAAGGTGTCGAACTCAGCAGCCATCTTGCAGGACAGAGCTGGGTGACTGTGTTCTGCAGAGCAGTTGGTGACCACAAGGTGGGACCCTGGAGAAGTGAGGAGGAGTCAGGGGACCCTGCGCAGCTCCCACCTCACAGCCCGGAACACAAAATACAGAGCAAGGCTGGGCTGCAGGGAGTCTGGATCGGCCCACCCACTCCCATTTTACACATGGTAACACTGAGGCCGGGGAGGGCAGACCTGCCCGGGACCACAGAGCTACTGGACAGCAGGTTGGGCTGGGACTCAGGTGTCCAGGGCCTTGTCCAGCACAGCACCTCCCCACACCTCCCCACACCCACACCCGCACCCACACCGGTTTCCAGGGAAGACGCCCACTGCCCTCCTGGGCAAAGGGGAATCCCCACGTGCCAAGGGTGGGCAGCCCACTTCCTGGGAACCCTCAGGCCAGGACACAGCCCCCTCCCCCAGCTGTCCTGGGCACCAGCTGAAGTCCCCCACCCCACCCAGGCCAGGCAGAGTTACCCAGTCTCTCCCGGAGGCTTTTGTCTGGGCTGTCGGTGAAGATGAACGTCTAGGAAGGAGGAGAAGGGGTCAGGATTCCCATCAGCCAAGGGAAGCGCCAAACCCACCCACAGCCCACCACCACCGGGCCCCAGATGGACTGTACTCCCTCAGTGACAGACACACCCCTCTCCTGGTCGCATGCTCCTTTAGGACAACATATAACACACACAATCCAGCTTTTGTAGACACACAACTTCAGGGTGCACACAGGCCACCATATACACATACACACTCGCCTCCTTTCCAGAGCGGCACCACAGGGACCTAACCGTAGCCACACACCTGGGCAGCACCTCACGTTCTCCTATCATGCACACGGGCGCATACATGCACACACACACACACACGCATATATACACACGTACACACGCTTACACACATTTACACACACACTTACACATATACATACATACACACACATATACACACAGTCACAGCCACACTTAGCCCCTCCACAATTATATAACACAACCCTAAACTCATTATCAGGACACAAACTCTATGTGAACAGACCCACACCCAGGGACACTGTGCCACTAGGGAGACATCACACTTTCACAGCCATGCAAGCCTCCTGTGCCAGCCGCCTCAGAGGCTCCCACAGCCCAGTCCAGCTCCCCCAGATTGGACAGCGCCCCACCAAGATCTTCCAAATGCTCTGTCTTTAGCGACCCTCAAACCTCACAAGGCAGGTGTCACCTGTTCCCTTCCCAGACGACAAAAAGGAGGCTGAGTGACAGACCAGGGTTGGCAAGTGCCGGCTGAGATTCAAACCCACAGGCTTCGGACCTCTCCCTGCCGCCTCCCAGGCAGCTAAAGCTGCTCAGCGCCCTACATAAACCAAAGCCAGACTCTGAGTGAGAGGCAGAGGCAGCACCAGGACACCGCAAGACCAGCCAGGCTGGGGACTGCTGTCCTTCCCGTTCCAGGCCCGGCCCAGCATGGGGAGAGCTGCTCGGCTGCCCAAGTGGGTCCTCTCACACCCAGTGAGCACCCAAGGGTTTTTGAGAGTGGCCCTGGCCCTGGGACTGCCCTGGCCAGGACCCCGTCCAAGTGCCCCACCTAATGTTTAAAGCCTCCAGACTCTCTCAGCCCCCACTGGGGCCACACGTGTGGCCTAGCCCTGACCTCCCTCCAAGCTGTCTATCCACCTCCAAGAGGTAGGTAGTTACAGAGTGAATGTGGCCCCTCCGCGCAGGGGCATTGGGAGGTGACCTGCTGTGATGTTAGCTGTTGGTCGTAAGGCTAGTGCTACTGGTTGAATAAAAAGGCAGATTGTTTCGACGATGATTAGCATAGGAATAAGTGGGGTAGGTGTTCCTTGGGGTAAGAAATGGGCTAGAGAGGCTTTTGTTTTAAATCGAAATCCTGTGAGTACAGTGGCTGCTCATAGGGGAATTGCTATGCCTAAATTTCTTGATAGTTGAGTACTTGGTGTAAGTCCAAGGAGGTTATTTAAGGCGATAAGGGTAATTAGTGCTAAGAGCATCAGGAATCGAGTTCTTCCTTTAATATTATGAACTAGGCCGGGCGCAGTGGCTCACACCTGTAATCCCAGCACTTTGGGAGGCCGAGGCGGGTGGATCACAAGGTCAGGAGATCGAGACCATCCTGGTCAACATGGTGAAACCCTGTCTCTGCTAAAAATGCAAAACATTAGCTGGGCATGGTGGCACGTGCCTGTAATCCCAGCTACCTGGGAGGCTGAGGCAGGAGAATTGCCTGAACCCAGGAGGCGGGAGTTGCAGTGAGCCGAGATCGCGCCATTGCACTCTAGCCTGGGTAACAAGAGCGAAACTCCGTCTCAAAAAAAAAAAAAAAATTATTATGAACTGTTGTTACTTGCTTTAGTGGAAATTGAATTAATCATTGTTGGAGCGAGGAAAGTCATTTGTTGATTAGGTTATTAGAAGGCATAATCAATGTAGTAGGAAATAAAATAATATTGCTAGGGGGATTCCTAAGATTGTATTTTGAAAGAGGTGGATAGATTTTCGTTCATTTTAGTTCTCAAGTTGTTTTGTTTTTGTGTTTTAATTTGATGATGGGGTGGTGTGGAAAGTAAAATTCAGCATTTTTAATTGAATAATATAGAATAAGGATACAGCTATTGATAAGATCACCACTGGTCATGTTGAAATATCTAGTTGGGGCATTCACTGTAGAAAAGTTCTCTCAATCTTTAACTTAAAAGGTTAATGCTAAGTAGCTTTACAGTGATACAATGTATAGATATGAGGCTCAGACTTCAAAGTCTTTGAAATACAGGAATTCTAGAACGATGGGTATAAAGCTATGATTTGATCCGCGCATTTCTGAGCATTGCCCATAAAATAGGCCTGGTCGTATAGAGGCTAGTATAGCTTGATTTAAACGTCCGGAGATTGCACCTGTTTTAACGCCTAGTGATGGGACAGCTCATGAGTGTAAGACGTCTTCTGATGAAATTAGCACACGGATATCTGCTTCTATTGATTGGCAAGGTTGTTCGGTTATCTACTTCAAGAGGTCAAAATTCGCCGGGTTCAAGAAAATATGTTGGTATAATATAAGAATCAAAAGCCAAGTCTTCATAGTCTGAGTATTCGTAGCTTCAGTATCATTGGTGACCAGTTGTTTTAAAGGTTAAGTAGGGTTTATTAATCTCGCCTGTTACGTACAGGATACGTAGGGATGGGAGGGCAATTATAGTAAGAATAACGGCAAGTAGGCTAGTTCAGATTATTTCCATTTCTTGAGCGTTTATGGTGCTGGTATGGGTTAGCTTTGTAGTAAGCATTAGGGAAATAATGGCACCATAGGCAACATATGGGACTAGAGAGCTAATTAGGAAAATAATTATGAGGGTCTGATCATGAAAAGCAATTAGTTCTATAATGGGGGATGTAGCGTTTTGTACACATAGTGGGGCTGGGTGAGCCATTAAGATGTATAGAGTTTGGTCTATAATTTAACTTTGACAAAGTTATGTAATTATTTTACTAATATCTTATTGATAAAGTCATAGGGTCTATGGGATAGGCTTGAAACCAGTTTTAGGGGGTTCAGATCTTTCCTTTTTCACTTAAAGATTTTTACGTAGGTAGACTCTTCAAATGTGTGATGAGGAGGCGGGCAGGCATAGAGTCATTCTAGACGGGGAGATAGCTGCCCTATAGTTGAAACTTTTCGTTTTGAGAAGCCTTCTCAAATTATGAAAATTATTAGAATAACTGCTGTTAATGAAATGAATGAGCCTACAGATGAGATGATATTTCATGTAGTTTATGCATCAGGGTAATCAGAGTATCATTGGGGTATTCCAGATAAGCCAAGAAAATATTGTGGAAAGAAAGTTAAATTTACGCCTACAAATATAGTAGTAAAGTGAATTTTAGCATAGGTCTGGTCAAGTGTATAACCCGAGAATAAGGAGAAGCAGTGAATAAAGCCCCCTATGATAGCAAATACTGTTCCTATGGATAGGACGTAACGGAAATGAGCTACTACATAGTATGTGTCGTGTAAGACAATGTCTGATGATGAGTTGGCTAGTACGATTCCTGTTACCCCACCTACGGTGAAAAGGAAAATAAGCCCAGGGCTCAGAATATTTCAGGAGATCATTTAATATTACCACCATGCAGCGTAGCTAATCAGCTAAAGACTTTTACTCCGGTGGGGATAGCAATAATTATAGTAGCTGATGTAAAATATGCACGTGTATCTACCTCTATCCCTACTGTGAATATGTGATGGGCCCATACGATAAATCCTGGGAAGCCAATAGATATTATAGCTCATACTATTCCCATGTATCCGAATGGTTCTTTTTTGTTGGAGTAATGTGTGACAATATGTGAAATTATTCCGAAGCCTGGTAGGATGAGGAGATATAATTGAAGGTGCCCAAAAAATCAAAATAAGTGTTGATACAGAATGGGATTGCCATCACCAGCAGGGTCAAAGAAAGTGGTATTAAGGTTGTGATCAGTTATAATACAGTGATTCCGGCCGCTAGAACTGGGAGGGAGAGCAGAAGAACTGCCGTAATATCAAATGGAAACGGGTGTTTGATACTGAGGTATGGCTGGAGTTTATGTTGATAATTATTGTGATAAAATTAATGGCTCCTAAGATAGAGGAAATGCCTGCTAAGTGAAGGGAAAAAATAGTTAGGTCCACAGAGGCTCCTGGATGCCACGTATTTCCTGCTAGGGGCAGAGAAGCTGTTCAGCCAGTTCCAGCGCCGGCTTCCAGTGTTGCAGATGCAAGTGGAGAAGAAGTGATGGGGAAGAAGTCAGAAGCTTATATTATTTGTTCGGGGAAATGCTGTATCGGGAGCACCAATTATTCGAGGAATAAGTCAGTTTCCAAAGCCCCCGATGATGATTGGTACAACTATAAAGATTATAATGAATGCGTGGGAGGTAACAATAACATTAGAAACATGATCATTGTCTATTAGACTTTCTGGTTGACCCAGTTCTGCTCGAATTAGGAGGCTTAGGGCTGTTCCTACCGCTCCTGCTCATGCAGCGAATAATAGGTATAAGTGTTCCGATTATCTTTACGGTTAGTCGAAAGTAGCGATTTGTGAACATAGGTAGAGAAGGGTCAAATGGCTGAGTAAGCATTAGACTGTAAATCTAAAGACAGGGGAATATCCTCTTTTTACCAGTTCCGAGGTGATATATCATATTGAATTGCAAATTCAAAGCAGCAGCTTCAACCCTGCCGGGGCTTCTCCTGCCTTTTTTCCCTTATGGCGGGAGAAGTAGATTGAAGCCAGCTGATTAGGTTGTTTAGCTGTTAACTAAATTTTTGTGGGTTAAAGCCCCATCAAACTAGAAAGGGCTTGGCTTAATTAAAGTAACTGATTTGCGTTCAGTCGATGCAAAATAAAGTTTTGCAGTCCTTACAGTAGCACAGAAATGAAGTACAATTTACTTACTAAGGGCTTTGAAGGCTCTTGGTCTTGTTAACCTAAATTTCTAGTTTATTAATATTAATGGGGTTGTGGGCAGG